TAAAGTAAACGGCCAACCTGGGGAGAAGGGCCGGCGAGTACGGCCGCTCTTACTCGCCGGTTTTGGAGTTTCCCGCCTTGTATGAGCACGGGGCTCGACAACGGCGGGCGCTAGACCCGAAGGGCCTGTGAAACCAGCACCAATTTTCACCCGATTCCGAAGCCGCCTGTCGGCGTGGCCTGGAAGATGCCCTTGTTAGGCGAGTGGTGGCGGATAGGCGAGAGCGAGAGCGGGCTCGAAGGACGTGGTGTTCAGGTATGACACGACATCCTCGGAAGCTAAGACGGGTGTGAATACACCGACCCCGATCTCCAAGTCCAAAGCTATAGTGACATAAACATATCCATATCTATTGAAAATAATGATATACCGATGACAGTTAATGGTCAGCTAGACACACTGAGGTCCTTAAGCAACATTCACTCTGATTGTGCCACTAATCAATGCTGCTCGTTATGCGATTAGAAGTTGGTGAAATGTTAGTAAGAATGACCAGATGACGAGCTTATACTGCTCATTATTGTTATTGCTTTTTTGACATTTATGATCAATAATACCGCTTAATAATCTTTGTATTGTATAATCGATTAAAAATTGCTGATTGCTGAAAAACTCTTATCTGGTCAGTCATTCACGTCTAGACAATCAGTAGAATTTAACTACACCACTTTTCGCTGTCAATTTCATATGCAACTCACCAACGCGACATTCATACACGACAACGCAAAGTGATTTACAAAACTCTTTGATTGTCTATTAGTTCTTAAAAATTCTTGAGCCGGGCATTAAATTCAGGTTAACTTAGGAGGAATAATGTACTGTTGTTTGTCATCAGATGAAAATCAATACCATTATCAACTCCAAGTTCTGTGAGTTGGGATGCAAAACACCCGATTAAATAAGGAGCTCACACGTTTCAACCATTTTGATATCAAACATATTTCAAACGTCTTGGTAACCAGAGGACATCGGTTATATTAACAGAAAGGCGCTTTTTAAAAAAAGGTACATGTAACGGAAAGAGAACGATGAAAATCCCTCCGCAACCTTTTTGTTGGACAGTACAGTCATTTATTTGTTTCTTCTCCCTGTCGTGTATCATAACCTCTGTTCAGATCTCGTTTAACCACGCCTTTTTTTTCTTCAGTCTTCCTCGTTTGACCTTTTATTATGCGATTGTGACTTATCTCTTGTTACCTAATTTTCCATTGCATTTTGCCGGACTATTGACGGTTAGGTCGTGTTTGACTAAGCTCAAGGTCACGGCGTTATTCAGTGCGTGACTGTCAACTTTTGGACTGTCTGCTTGGGAGGACTGTTGCAACCCTGCATATAGATATTTGATCCCATTTTGTTGGGAATATTTTTATTGAGTCTCAGGTATCGAACCCTTTGGTATTAACTGTTTCTTTTATTATTTAGCGTGCTACTTTGCGTTAGAGAAACTTCTAGCTGTATAGCACAGACTGAACCGTTTGAAATATTTTGTATTTCTGATATAATTTGTTCTATTTTCTAAATTAGAACCGTTTAAATTGAGCATAAATTTTGTGTTTTTATATAATTTAATGCGAGCACCTCAAAAATGCTTGGTAGGCAATACAGAAGAACGTATTTTGGTCTATTCGAATACATTTTGGTTTGTCAGTCCTGCGTTCAAAGCGAATACTGGCAGTTCGGTCGTAACAGTACATATTTGGGTATTGACACTGTAATCAATTGATTTTCCTTCACGCATATCACTCGGATACTAGTCTTCAACAGCTGGATTTGAAGCAGAATAATGGGATTTCAAATCTTACATAGAAGATTTTGAAACTCCATTGCCCATAGGAATTGATCAACTGTTATCCGCGCCAGTTTTACGACGGAGACTGAATGGCTAATGTAAATCATGAAGGTTGTGAAAGATACGAGTGTATGAAACAAAGTTTTGTATATGCGAACTTTCTGTGCACAAACTTCGAAATCGCTATCCACATCCATCTTCGGTGATTCAATATCAGTAAGAGTGGAGTTATCAGCAATTAGGCGCATTGACTTAATGAAAAAACTTGACATATCTATATGATTTGTTAACCAAAATAGGCACGGTTCCCACAGACGTAATTTATCACATGAGAAACATTAAGTGACATTTCACCAACCATAAAATTCTATCCCGTGAACGGGAGATAAAAGAAACTAAACAGTAGTTTGCACAATCTACAGTGAATATAAGATGAACGAATACACAAGAAACTTTCGCAAACAGTTCTTGATACTCATTTCAGCCGTCATAAATATTTCAAGTGGCTTGGATTCCGGAAATGCAAAATCTGGCTTCCTATTGGATATTGTCTTTTATTTGCTTCTGAAACTGATTCTTTTCATAAGACTGAGTGATAAAAATTTGAGACTTTCTCACAGCTATGGAATTGATTTTTTCGGAATTTCAAGGATATTCAAAATGGAACGAAATAATCGGAAGATATTTTAATTTTAATATATATTTTTGGGCTTAGTATTAGATTTATAATCAATCTATGCAGTTCAAATCTCTTTGTTACTTTGGTCAATATCCAATAGTTGATTATCTTAACAGTCCAAGTCATGGAAGATGCTTCTGTGGTACATATCACAAAGTAATAAAACTCGGTAAGTGGGTTGGAGGCGAGATCCAATCAAGAAAAATCTTGAAGTCGGTACTCGAGGAGTTTGAAGAAAGCGACGTATTAATGATTAATGCACACAAAACTCGTGATTCAAATATTTGTATCCGAATGGATTGGCCGCTTGGGGATTGAATCAAGTGGAAGAACGCTCTTACGGAATCAAGAAATGGAAGTCTAGGTTGCGAAACGAACCTTACGATTAAGGGTATTGGGGTTTTGAGATCTTGGAAGCATTAGCTTCCAAGACAGGACTTCAAGTTGCAAGAAAGAGGCATAATGCTATACGTTAGGGATCACTTTCGTATACAACCAGTCCTCACACACCACTGTGAGGATGTCATCGACATTCAGCACCTTCCCCCACTAAAGAACAGTGATCATGGTATGCTGTACCTTAGGTTAAGGGCACGTTTTATACAACCCGTAGCTGCCCCACCCCGTCCCAACACCCGGCAACCTGATATTCCGGCAATCAGAGACTCTACTATTCCGACTGACTGGCCGGTCGATCCCGGTGGATCGATCGAAGACGAACGGAATAAGTCTAATGCCGTATTCAGGTCCGCAACATCATCGTTTATCTCGTGATCTACACGTACGCTATCATGTTAGCATATGATAGCTGTACTTGCCCGAAACGATTGTTTTCGTTAAACGGCGAACAAATCTTACTGTTATACGAAAATTCAGATTTACTAGCTGGATCAGATCGGGCAAAAGCCGAGACTTTTTCAAACTATTTTATGGAAGTCTACCCTGCACGTATTGTTGAAAATGCTTGTCGCAATCACACCGGGGTACTAGCCATAGGAGCTGAACATGTGTCTGAGGAAGTTGTTCTTCCACTAACAACTAACCTCAAACCATGTAAGACACCGGGCCCTGATGGGTTACATTCACAACTGCTGTTCATCTCTTGCGGACATTATTTCAAAACCGCTTGCGACACTCTTCAACATGTTCTTTTCACTCGTCAAACTCCCTAGAGATTGTGAAGATGCTATAGTCAGTCTTATATTTAAGGATGGTCAGAGGCAGATCGTATCTAACTACCGGCCTTACAGCTAGCATAGTCGTCAAATTACTTGAAAAGATAATCCAGGTTAAGTTACTAAGTCACACAGATTCACACAATCTCTTAACTCCCGAGCAGCATGGGCTTCGTAACAAGCGTTTATGCTTGACTAACTTATTACGAGAGGGGATTTTACAGGAGCGAAGCATTTGACAAGGTTTCACACTTAGGTCTTGTGCAAAAGCTCTTCAGCTTCGGAATAACAGGCGCTGTATAGGAATGGATAGGAAACTTCTTATGTGGCCTCAGGCAGACAGTGAGAGTCAATAGAATGCTATCTGAATGGAAGCCGGTCAAAAGTGTTGGACTCCAAGGCACTATCTTAGACACCGTAATTTTCCCTTCTCTACGTTAATGAATTACCGCTTTTGATTAAGTCGCCGACATTATTGTTTGCGAATTTCAAACTCTGGAGAACAATAAGAAGTGAGACTGATCATTCGAATCTCCAAACTGACTTAGATGAATTATTTAGATGGGCTGCAGTTTGAGGCTTGTAAATTAATTATAAGGAGGAGTGTGCTCATGCACATCGGACACGGTTATAGTTATAACTATACGATTGATGGTACATCTCTTCTACGCGTTCAGTAACATGAAGACTTAAGAGTAATAATAAGTCATGACTTGAAAACAACTACGCACTGCAACTCAGCTGCTGTCAAAGGTTTTCGTGCGTTATGGTCACTTTCCCGAGTATTGAATCGCTTTGATGAGGAAGTGTTTGCAATTGTATATTCCAGCAGCAAGCTCATATCTGATAAAGGATACTAACTCACTTGAGCGTGTTCAGCATGTGGGAACGGAAGTAGTCAACGATCGTTTTAAATTCCCTTACGACGAGCGCTTAAAACGGCTAAATCTTTTCCCTTTGTTGCATCGTAGGATACGAGGTGACATTATACTGGCATTTCGTACCTTTAATTAATATCTGGGTGTCATTATGTCCTATATTTTTGCTCCCTTCAGCCTTAATAATCTCCGAGGACATAGCAGAAGGGTTCCCAAACCACGATCTAATAAACTTAAATTGAGGTCCCGCATATCTCATCGAGTAACCAGTGACCGGAACGCCTTACTCGATCAAGTGGTATCAGCCAAATCAATGCATGTTATCAAAGAGAAGCTAGACCTTAAATGGAAGGCAATTTGTCAGGATTAACACCGGCTCACTAACCTACTATCCTTATTACTGAAGACTGAACCATGCAGTCAGATTTTAATGTCTGTTGCGCATATTTTGAACATTATCGATACTTGCAAGGTCAACTATGCCAAAGTAAGTCTGCCTAACAGTAATTTCCTAGGGTTTAGGTACTATTGTGACTACTGTGATACCTACCTAACTCATGATTCTCCATCCGTGAGAAAAACGCATTGTGGTGGTAGAAATCACAAGGATAATGTAAAGGAATATTATCAAAAATGGCTGGAAGAACAGGTCCAAAGATTAGTAGATCACACATGTAAGTAATACATTCCTCAATTTCCTTAACATAGACTTTTCAAGCTGAAGCATACAAGCAGGGTAAAATGCCTCCACCACTATTTGGCGCTGCAGCGGGAATACCACCTCCTGGGCTTGGTTATCCCCCTCGTTATCCTCCTATGATTGGTGTTCCAACTGGCTTCAGACCACCCCACCCACTAGTTCCTCCACAGGGCATGATGATTCCACCCAGACCACAGATTCCATGGCCTCAGCCAGGAGTTGCAGTCCCTCCGACATACACTGTACCACCACAGTGACATGATAAAATAACGATCGTTTTCAATATGTCACTATGTACAACCATTATGTAATCGCTTAAAATTCGATTGTTTATTGAAAACTGTATTTTTCTAACCAGATTTTTTTAATGTAGATTTTTCACCATATGATACTAGAAGTACCGGGTTCTCTGTGATTCGCATTCGTCAAGGAATCCTTTCTGTATCCATTCTAAAAAAATTCGATTTTCTAGGAAAAGATGCATCATGTTACTGCGACTCATCTGTTTGACATTCAAGAGAGGGAACTTCCGTTATTATTTTAAATTTAGACTTTTTTGCCCATGATAACATGAATTTTTAAATCCTTTCATATTTGTCTTAAGTTGTACACTAACGAGTTATCACTTCAAACGTTTCCAAGGCAGCTGGGGTTATACTTGACATATAAAGGTTACATGTGTCCTGACGGCGAAAACATGTGAGCTGACTCGATTTCTTCTGATTACTTCTACTAATGAATTTGTTACCGTGGGCTGGATCACTGTCGGATAATAAAATGTCCTAAATTCTTTAGTTGGGCAATTTAAGATCGGATTTTCAGTTTTATCGTTCCCATATTTATATTTTCAAACAAAAAACTGAATAACGTTTGAACATTGTGTACCATTTTAAGGACGGATTTACTTCATTCATCCGTCATGTATGAAATCTTGAATTCCTATAGAGTCTCAGTTAGCAGTATTTGGACAAAATCTACCTATATTACAGATTAGTGGCTTGCAGTGAATAATTACTGTTCACCATACTACGGGCTCCTAGACATTTTATTGGTTAAACACAATGAGCTTCCAGAGTTATAAAACCATATCTTTATTTACACAGCAGTTTTAAAGCTTTGAGTGTATGCAGTGGGTCGAAGTACTCAGGGATTGTTCATGGGTCATGCTGGTGCTCATGGTTGTCTGAAACTTCTGTTATTATATTACTGACATGAAATAGACTGGTTTCTGATTGGAGAATAAGACTTTGAAGGATGTAGCTGATCTGAAACAAGGGATAGAGTAAGCTAACATGAATGAATTTCAGGGGTTTAAGAGTAAGTTATCCCAATATTGCCATTAAGATAAACTGAAATTTCAGTCAAAGACAGGTAGTTGACTATTAAAAACGGACATTCGTATGTTACTAATACAAGCAGGGTAAAATGCCTCCACCACTATTTGGCGCTGCAGCGGGAATACCACCTCCTGGGCTTGGTTATCCCCCTCGTTATCCTCCTATGATTGGTGTTCCAACTGGCTTCAGACCACCCCACCCACTAGTTCCTCCACAGGGCATGATGATTCCACCCAGACCACAGATTCCATGGCCTCAGCCAGGAGTTGCAGTCCCTCCGACATACACTGTACCACCACAGTGACATGATAAAATAACGATCGTTTTCAATATGTCACTATGTACAACCATTATGTAATCGCTTAAAATTCGATTGTTTATTGAAAACTGTATTTTTCTAACCAGATTTTTTTAATGTAGATTTTTCACCATATGATACTAGAAGTACCGGGTTCTCTGTGATTCGCATTCGTCAAGGAATCCTTTCTGTATCCATTCTAAAAAAATTCGATTTTCTAGGAAAAGATGCATCATGTTACTGCGACTCATCTGTTTGACATTCAAGAGAGGGAACTTCCGTTATTATTTTAAATTTAGACTTTTTTGCCCATGATAACATGAATTTTTAAATCCTTTCATATTTGTCTTAAGTTGTACACTAACGAGTTATCACTTCAAACGTTTCCAAGGCAGCTGGGGTTATACTTGACATATAAAGGTTACATGTGTCCTGACGGCGAAAACATGTGAGCTGACTCGATTTCTTCTGATTACTTCTACTAATGAATTTGTTACCGTGGGCTGGATCACTGTCGGATAATAAAATGTCCTAAATTCTTTAGTTGGGCAATTTAAGATCGGATTTTCAGTTTTATCGTTCCCATATTTATATTTTCAAACAAAAAACTGAATAACGTTTGAACATTGTGTACCATTTTAAGGACGGATTTACTTCATTCATCCGTCATGTATGAAATCTTGAATTCCTATAGAGTCTCAGTTAGCAGTATTTGGACAAAATCTACCTATATTACAGATTAGTGGCTTGCAGTGAATAATTACTGTTCACCATACTACGGGCTCCTAGACATTTTATTGGTTAAACACAATGAGCTTCCAGAGTTATAAAACCATATCTTTATTTACACAGCAGTTTTAAAGCTTTGAGTGTATGCAGTGGGTCGAAGTACTCAGGGATTGTTCATGGGTCATGCTGGTGCTCATGGTTGTCTGAAACTTCTGTTATTATATTACTGACATGAAATAGACTGGTTTCTGATTGGAGAATAAGACTTTGAAGGATGTAGCTGATCTGAAACAAGGGATAGAGTAAGCTAACATGAATGAATTTCAGGGGTTTAAGAGTAAGTTATCCCAATATTGCCATTAAGATAAACTGAAATTTCAGTCAAAGACAGGTAGTTGACTATTAAAAACTGACATTCGTATGTTACTAATATCCCATCAAACGTGTCTTTGAAGCATTGGTCGTGTACATTGGAGTCGTTGAGTAAGCGATCCCCAGGTTGGTAATTAGGTATTAGGTTAGAATGGCAGACCGATCGATGCGGTAGTAAATCTTAATCAACTGAGATGGTTAAGACATGCGTTATTTATACCAAACAAGCACATATTTCGATGTGAAATGTTGGCTGGTGTGGGGGTAGATTGGAACAGAGCTAGGTGCGAGCAAACGAAAACATGGCACCAACCTATGAAGTCATTGACAGTTAAACTGAGACATGTTAACAACCGTTAACTACCCGGTCGGTGTCCGCACGATTACCATAACCATTGATTACAGATTTTGAGTGACATGGCTCGAAATCGTTTGCAGCCGAGGGCCTTACATACGTTTCACTAGTAAACTACTTGGGTAACAGCATGGTAAACCTATTCTCATTAATGTGGGTAATAATAATAACTACCATTTATCGTTTAAATTTTGTTTTACGACAGCCTTCTGCAATCAGTAGTCTTTGTTCAGTAATAGATCTATCAATCTAGCTTTCACACAATCAGACGAAAACAAATAAGTCTTCTACTGGTTATAATGAAACTTCCTTAATCGATCTTGACTCATTTTGGGGTTTTAGAAAAGCTACAGCACACATCTCATTGGGACTTTAAGCATGGCTAGTTATCACTTGATTTATTTGCCAGTCGAAATATGACTTATTTAGTTTTAGTGCTGTGCTAAACCAATGACGTTCGATCGGTATCGATTTGCCCTATATGCAAGAAAACCATACTTCGATCCAGATATAGATAAAAGCTGCTTGCGGTCCGCTAGAAGGGTAAATCGATGAACAAAAATCATTTTATGAGATTTCTTTACTGCAAAAACTAAAGCTAGTCCTTCTTTCTTAATCTGACTATATTTTCGCTCAGTTGGGTAGAGTTCGGAATACATAAGCAATTGGCTTTTCTTTACCATCAGGAAAACGATGACTGATAGCAGCTCTAACTCTACAGTTGGAAGCGTCTGCGGCCACAATTATTTTAAATTCTGGATTGTAATGGGTCAGCAACAGTTTAGAATAGAAATTTTTTTATTTCATCGAGAGAATTTCGGCATTCCCTTGTCCAGTACCATGTTGATTTGATGGGTGTCGCAATATATACATATAGGGTACGAACATACTATATATCCCATCATCTCCAAAAGTGAACGAAGGGTTTCAACATCAGTCAGTCTGGGCATGTTTTTGATGGCATTCATATTATCTGGATCTGGCCGGCGTCCATCTTTATTAAGTACAATCCAAGGTGTTTAACAGACTCGAGCAGGAATTCACTTTTCTAGTTTTAACTGAAAACCAGCTTGTGATATTTTAGTGAGCACAAAGTCTAACCGACCCATTAGTTTCTGAGCAGAAAAACAAATAACTATAATATCATTCAGGTAAACTCCTACACCGAGGTTTGACATAATAGTATCCATTATCTGGAGCTGGCTTTACGCCAAACTGTAATCGGTTAAACTGATGGAGTTCACGGTGGGTATTAATCGTTAGTAACTCCTTTGAATACTTGTCAACTTCCACTTGTAAGTAGGCTTCAGATAAACCAAGTTTAACAAAATAACCACAGTTTAGTTTAACAAATAAATCCCCTGGAAAGATAGTGGATATGAATGGTCTTGTAAATAATCATTTAATCCTGTTGAAAAATCTACATAAGGGCGAATAGCTCAGTTCGCTATCTGAAATACTACAAATGGTGCTGCCCATGCCAAATAATTAATAGGTTGTATGACAGCGAGCTTTTCTAGTCGGTTTAATTCTTTGTCAATAGCTACATATGGGACTTGACGTTTTGGACGAAAAACAAGTTTTACATCCTGTCGTAAGTATAATTTTGCCTTCGAATTGTCCAGCATCCCAACTTATTCTGGAGCAAGTTTTTATTTATCTGCAAAAGGAATTCTATTGTTGTGGCTTAGTTATATGAACGATGGGTAAATCTCTAGGACTATTTGAGCTTTACATCGTACATATTTCGCTCAATGGTATATCTCATAGATTTAGTTTGTTTATCCAATTTATACCAATAAGGCCCAAATGATGTCTGTTCGTTAAATGACAATTTCCTGTGAAGTAGTTATCTCTGAATTCAACAGAGTATTTTGTTGTTCCAATAATCATTAATATATCTCCAGATGAATTCCGAGCTGTGTGCTCAGTTGTCAATACTTGTGGACAGCCAATTAAATTCCATGTCCGTTTAGAGATTAATGTGATATCTGATGCTGTATCCAATTGCAATCGAATGTAAACACGATTAATTCCACATGCCGTCGTTTATCTGCCATGCTTAGAGCCAATGTAGCATATATATTGTGGTGAGGACGCTTCGTTGGCTTTGATCTCAAACTTCCTCTGATTCGGCAGACTTTATTGCATACAGTGCATGTATGATTTCTAAACCGGAAAAATTTTGAAAAGTGCGATGTGCCACAATACCAGCAGTCAGTTGAAAGTTTAAGAATTTTCGAGTGATATTCATAACCTGGTACTATTTTGTCTTCGAGCTATCTTAACAACATGAACAGAATGATTAGATGGCACCCCACTTTTGGTTTCCAGCATAGCTGGATCCTGTTTCAAGTTTATTAATCGTTGGCATTGAGCAGTAACATTTTGTAGTGTTATTTCATTATCATGTCCCATATGGGATAACAAACCCATGTGAAAATCAGCGTCGATGGGAGAGTTCAGATCAGAAATGAATAATAAGCATTCAAATTGATCACTGGTTAATACATTTAATTTAAATTGCTCCGCTTGTAAATTTACTCTTCCGGTGTGTACGTAGTGTAGTCTTCATCAGCCTTTTTAGATAGTTGTAGACATTTATACCGTATACGAAATAAGTTCGACTTTCAGTAATAAAAACAAAGTTATATAAATAAGTGTTTTATTATAAATTCACAAAAATAAACTAAACCTGTTTAAAATGTATAATTAATTTTTTGGAAAACATAGAAAGTAACATATGGGATATAAACTGTTGGTTAAGGTGCTATTTAGAAAAGCCAACTACATTTCCAACTTTATAAATACTTGAAAGCCAGAAGTGTTGAATTCATCAAATCAAGACGAAGAGATATCCATCGTGACCGAGTTAGTTGTTTAATACACGCCCAGAAAATGGTTTGTTATCGCACGTTTTAATAAGCAAAATGCATGGTTCATATTAAATATAAAGAAATCATGTGTTGTCTTTGAACAAACTGTATTAATTTTGAAAACCATCCAGTATAGAAGCGAGCATTAAATCTTCAGGTGTTACAAAAGCACTGAAATATTCAACTTTATTAGTTAGATTGCTTTCACTCAACACACATTCATCTTCGTTACATACAAAAGGAACATTGAGACAGTCGGCAGGTATTGGCATACCTAAATTTAAATAAATGTGAACAGACATATAGCTAGTGCATATTCGGATTGTAATATAACTAGACAGCAGGACTTATTATAAAATGCGGTTAGAATCATGTGTTATCTCTTAAATACCACCATCAGTAACCACTATGTTTTTCTATCCTTTCGTAAGGTTTGAAAGTTTGCAATTCATTAGATAGTCAAGCGAGGTAATGTTCGGAGATGCTCTTCGGCAAATACAACCTGTTCCATATGAGCAAGTAAGCTGACAGATACACATTGACTTGGCCCAAAGTGATAGCTTGTCTTACACACAAATACGAATCCGAGGCATCTCCAGACATCACAATCTAGCTATTTAAAGCGCAAGCTGACAAGAAGTCTACGCAATGATCGCGAGCAGTGGTGGGTAGCGAAAGCAAGAGAGATGGAGAAGGCAGCGGTGATAGGTAATAGCAGACAATTGTTCAGACTTGTTAAGGAAACCGGTATTAGGAACCCGACCGTTAGCGAAACAATCTCAGAGAAAGATGGACATATTATTCATTCTCAATCCAGGAGATTGGATCGATGGGCAGAACACTTTAGAGATCAGTTCAACTGGCCTTCAGCCACACTTCGGTTTCCCACGATCTCCAGTCAACCTGAATGGCAAGTTAATGTAGGTCCTCCGTCCCTTTACGAAGTTGAAAAAGCGAGGGAGAGCAGCAGGCCCTGACAGGTTTACTCCTGAGATTTTTAAGGATGGTGGTCCAGTATTAGCAATGAGACTAACCGAGGTCTTAGGTAGAATTTGGGAACTGGACGTAATCCCATCTGACTGGTCTCAATCACTGATTGTCCCAGTCTATAAGAAAGGACAAAAGTCCTCTTGTGACAATCACAGAGGAATCAGTTTGACTAATATAGTGTCTAAAATATTAGCTTCAATAATACTTCGACGCCTAATCAAAGCTCGTGAAGAGCAGATTAGAGAAAACCAGGCCGGTTTTCGACCTGGACGTGGTTGTATAGATCAGATATTCACATTACGTCAGGTTCTAAAACACAGACACACATTCAGACGCCCCACAATCGTAGTATTTCTCGACCTTAAGGCAGCATTCGACTCTGTAGATCGTGAGGTTATATGGCAGTGTTTGTCACTGAAAGGAGTACCAAAGAATTACATTAACTTTATATAGGCTCTCTACTCGAACACAACTGGTCGAGTGAGAGCTTATGGCGAACTGTCATCAGAATTGATTACCTCAAGTGGTGTTCGTCAGGGCTGTCCACTCTCTCCATTCTTGTTCAACTTTGTCGTCGACGTACCTTTCGAGATAACACTTTCCTCATCAAGATTTCCAGGGGTTGAACTTTTACCGGGAGGTTCACTTGTTAACTTAGAATATGCCGTTGACATAGTTCTATTTGGTGAAGACGCTGACAAAATGCAGAGTCTTCTGACCACTCTAAGCAACAATGCAAGCATGTTCGGGATGCGACTCTCATTCTCGAAATGCAAAATGTTGCTTCAGGATTGGGTTGCATTGACACCCGAACTAATGATAGGGAGTGAAGTAATTGAGCGTGTCGATCGCTTCACTTATCTTGGAAGTCTCATCAGCCCTTGTGGTCTGGTGTGTGACGAAATCTCAGCGCGTATACAGAAGGCTCGACTAGCTTTTACCAACTTGCGTCATTTATGGCGTAGGCAAGATATCCGTCTATCAACCAAAGGACGTGTTTACTGCGCAGCAGTTCGTTCCGTCCTACTTTATGGCAGTGAAACATGGCCGGCAAGAGTAGAGGATATCCGTAGGTTACTAGTATTTGATCATAGGTGTCTTCGAAACATTGCTCGTATATCCTGGGACCACCGAGTAAGTAACGTATTTGTTAGGAAACGGGTACTAGGTAAGGATGGCAAATCAATTGATGAAGTAGTGAAACTTCATCAGTTGAGATGGCTGGGACACGTGTTACGTATGCCCAACCACCGACTGCCTCGACGTGCGATGTTCAGTAGTATAGGAGTAGGTTGGAAGAAAGCTAGGGGCGGCCAGACTAAAACATGGCACAAGTTCATGAAGTCACTGAAAAGTGAACTGAGTCATGTTGGTAGGTGTAGACTACCTGGTTGGGGACCGCGAGATGATAGCAACCGATGGTTAGAGACCCTGAATGACATGACTCAAAATCGTTTGCAATGGCGCACGTGCATCCACTTTTTGTGTTCTCCCAAATTTTGATCTCCTTATTCCTCCTTGTATCTTTTTTTCTCTTCCCAAATTTAATTCACTGGATTATACTCTTTAAATAACATCTCCAAACACTAATTTTCCCGATTACTGCTTATACTCTTATTACCTTAACCACTACGGGATTTGAATCGACCACTGCATCTCTGTGCTAATGTGGTGTGGCAACTCGAACTGATGTACGTACGTACGAAGTTCTACGTTGTTACTGACTGACTGACAAGTACTATGACATTTAGTTACTTTTAGTAACTCTGCTTCTTAAGAATCCTCACAAATCATCCATACATTCAGAAGAATTGGTTTGAAAGACTATTAATTTTATCTATGTGAAAGTCATTGAGTAGCCCACCATCTTTGGAAGTATTTGAGTCTAAATATCATCAAAAACTAACATCCTCTAAGTAAGAAGGCTTTAAAAAATCTGTGTTCACTGGTTAAATAATTTTAAACTTTTGTAAGAATCAATATATCATGTGTTTTAGAAGAAATGAATAATGACTAGCAGTAGAATTTACGATGAGCGTTTCACTCTATCATTTGTGACTCGTCAGCTGAATGTGCCTGCATCACATAGTTGGTATTCACTCTCAGATTCGAAGCCAGTACTGCTTGTTTCAAATACCAACGGGTTACTTACTCGGCTACCGACTTACGCAAAAGGTACGAATTTGATTTCATTTTTAAGGGTTTTGAGTTATCTCACTGTTGATAATGTTGACTGAGTTTTGAAGCCTTTGTTGGTGTACGTGCATCCTGTGCGCATTATTTTGATAAACACATTATATCACAAGTTTTGTGGAAGAGATCGATTTTGGCTAGCAGTGAGCTGAAAAAATTTAGTCAACAATATCAACAACCGAATAATTCAAAAACCATTACAGATTAAATATTTTATATGGTTGTTGAATTGGTAAAATGATACCTTAGCTTTATAAAATAAATGCTATTCATTTTGAAAGTATTATCCTATTTGTTTGAATGAGATTTTCTTACGCAACTATTATTTATAAAATATATATGCAATCCACCTAGATTAGTACACATTATGCGAGAATTATGTTTTTATTCTTATTTAAACATTAAATAAAAGAAATAAAAAAAACGACTTACTAGATGAACGAAAATCCACCAGTCGACAGTCAGGATCTAAGCATTTCTGATAATAACAACCATTGATAAGATCAAAGACTAGACTGAAAAAAAACATGAACCAACACAAAACACTGAATAATGTTATTTAAACACAAAAAGAGAAAATCTTATTTATATAGGTTTACAATTGCTACTGACTTCATACAAATTAATCAGTAGTTAGAAAAAGCAGCTCAACTAGTTCGAATGTAGATAGTTGGGAACTTGCACACTGAATTAACATTTTTATTCTATTGTTCAATACTCCAAGCTAAACTTACATTTAGAATCGAAGTAACTGTCAATACTATGACGTAATTACGAATTTACCATACGAAACATATTCAAAGAGGTAAAATTCCTCGTTTATATTGCTTGATCCACATAGTTTTCTCTTTAAAAGCGGCTTAATGGGTCTTCGGTGATGTCTATATGAGATAACATCAATCAACTGGTCATAAGCAACAAAGAATCTGGTACATAAACGAATCGGTCCAAATCAACACCGCATTAGCTTAGTGAGATGTCAGAAGTACGACTCATTATTCTTTAACGAATTTACATGGTTTAAATAGAGGCATATAGTATGAAGTTCATTGAAATAAATTTAGAAAATATTGTGTACTCTAGTATACCGAGATTAAGAGTGATGTGTACACATCAAAATAAGTTGAGTGCGTGTAATCAGTCAACAAATACGGTATACTTCAAGGCTTCTCGTCAGCGATAAACGGAATAAATTTATTTATATTAGTAACACTCTTTTGACGTTACTGTCGAATGTACTTATGATTTCACACGTACATGTGGAAGGAAGTACAAGGTTCTACTAACATATTCCGCATACGTTTTATCTGACAGGAAGTAAAGTATTCGCAAGTGTGATCACCAGACATTTAATGGATGATGAACACGATGTGGATGTCACAAAATCATTTAAAATAATCTACAAGCAGCAAATATCACCTTTACTCCCTTTTGTAGAGGCCATTGCCATTAGGCTCTTTTGATCTGACGTTAGTGTGTGGAAAGAAAGTGTAAGAAAGGTCTTGTTACCATGGTTACTTACTTGCACCTGTTACTCCTCATGGAGCGCAGGTCAAGACAATTATATTAATTTAACGTTTGTCAATCACATTATTTGTTTGTTGTACTTTACGATTGGAAAGATAGAAAAATTCAATCGAAATTATGATTATCAATCATTTGCTAGTAATTTCTTTTTATTTCTTGTCTCTGTCATTATTAGCAGTTTTATCTTCAACATATAAATACTAACCAGTCTCATGTTAAATGTTATTGCTTCGTGTTTCTTATGTCGTTTCGAACCAAACTTCATTAATTATTGTATATAAAAATAATTTTTGGTGATAATATTACTAATTGTAGACTTAAGTCGCTGGTAGCTGATGAATAACCTTGGAATACAATGAATTCATGTTATTCTGTAAATCATCTTCTATTCGCTTAATTTAAATTTATCAAGAGATCAGGATGTATAAAACTTAGTTCATTATATATATGAAAATTATTTCTTACATGAACCTATAAATGTTTAAAACAAAATAAGATAAACAAACGCACTTACATAATATGATTACTTTTATGGGAACGATTGACTCTTTCACAGAAACGCAGTTTCTCCACTTTCATAGCTAACTTGCCTTTATTGAAAGAAATAATTTTGATTTGATTCTCAAAATTGTACAACACATTACTGGTTTTTTCATCAGATAATCCACGATTAAACCATTCTCGGATAATTTTCCTTATGAAAACAATTAATTTTAATGGTAATGACTGAAGACAAATATTGGCGTCATTTTCGTTAAGAACTTTATGTACATTATCAGAATTAGTGATGTCATTATTAGTGGGTAAATAAGTGGGTAAAGTGTTATCAGTTTTACTACAGCAACAATTTTCCACCGGTCGATAAATAAAATTTGAACTGTATATTGAAATTTATAAAAAGAAGAAGTTTTATTATGTAAAGTCCAAAAATACTAGGGAACAAAACGTCCTAGATACAGTCTTATGTTAAGGAAAGTATTTATTGGGATATAATTTGTTCCATGATGGAACTTATAAATATGTGGTACATATAATAAGACTTCCGTAACACTTAGCTTATACACTGAAAGCGATTATGTCAATAAGTTTGGTTCATTTAACAAACTTGATCATCTAATAAGTATTATGTTGTAACAGTTAAGACCTGAATTTGAGAGAGCTTATTTATAACTTGTTGCTACGTTTTTTTATTTGGCCATTATAATCTTCACACTATTGTGACTGATACTTGTCGACAGTTTACTACCCACCACCGAAAAATATTGATTTAGTTTGTTCATTAACGCACTTTATAGTATAATATATGTCGAACATGTGTCGTTCATGTTATTCACGTGAATTTAGCCGCTATTTTAGCGAACTTGACAACCAGATCTACAACAGCAAGAGAGTTTATTAACACAACTACTATGCAATTAGTAAGTGAGATGAATCTTAGAAATATAGGATAGCCTCAAATATATACTTAATCTGAATATACTGGTCTTTAATCACTGACCAATCCAAAAATTACCCTGAGTGAACAGATCATTATAACAACTAGTCAAAACGGCCATTATTTTGAAAAAATACTAACCATTGTTCATCAATATAGGTAACAAGAGTCCGTGCCCAAGATTGCCAATTTGACCATATACATGAAAATATTTCATTCTTATTGACTACATAATTTGGTAATAATAATCCACTACCGGATAATTTACATGACCCAGCCAGACGGAAATTACGATTACGTGTATAGACGCCTAAATCACACACGCTTGTCCATAATTCACTTGATGATGAAGTAGATTGTTTTAATTTAGGTAAAGCAAAACAATTTTTGGCATCGTTACTAGTTAATTGAACCTCGGGAAATATACCTCGTATAAGATGATTAATTTGATTTGAACAATGTGAACATTCATTTGTGTATAGGAAATCAGTATTTAATAAACTATATTGTGACAAACTTTTACAAAGTATACGAATCAGCTGACCTAATAATTTATTTGATTCCATTAAATGAAAGGAAAACAAAACATTGATTAGTTGAATATAATTTAGTTGAAAACAAAATAACAATTATATGCAATTCAAATATCTTGGTGCGAAAGTCGTAGACTGTGAAGCTGTGAAACATGGGTTTGAATCCGAACATATGCTTTGTTGACGAGTACCAACTACTATAAAACCCGGTTCAGGGTTTCCTAACAAATCCTCTCAGCTACCACCAAGATTCATTAACTAAATGTATATTCAATCTTAAATGAAGAATTGACTGAAGATATCAAAAAGAAAGTTCCCTAAAAAAAAACACCTTATTTTCGTATATTTTATGCAGGTTTAGCAGTGGAATTCAGAACAAGCATTTCATTTTATTTGGGACCCATCAAGTGAATTTATCCCCATCGAAACACAACGCAAACCCCGTTTATGTAGTCCTAAACTGCAAAAACAGTCCAAAAACTCTGAGGCATTTATAAATCAATAATTAGTAGATAAGTGGTGGTTTAGTGGTGAAAACGATTAGCTTCAAACAATAAGTCGGTTTGAGCAGCCGATTGGTGTTTTATTCTTCCATGATAAATACTTTTATCTGCTGCACTACGCTCAGATTAAAACATATCACAGCGAGAATGACCAGGAAACAAAGAACCAAAACAATGCATAGTATTAAAAGCACGACAGTTTATATAAAATCTAGGAGGAACATTTGGTATCTTTTTTATCCGTTCACTAGGACTGACTGGTTAGAAATGCACTAATCATCGTATCTAATTTTGAACTTGGACTGAGTATGCAATTGTTGGGATTCAATCCTACTGACATTTAGTAAGTCTGTCCCCCCCCCAAATACACAAACAGTATAATTCAAAGCCGAGTAAACAAGCTTATGCTTTGTTAAATGAGTTGCAACAACAAGGACAACTCGACAAATATCTATTTAAATGTCACATATGACTTACCTTGTTCTAAATTGCTTCGAAATACAAGATTTTTACTGTTGATTATGACATGTTGACTAAATTTCTTGGAAGTGCTGTTAATGTTTAAATAAATAATCAGATATTTTTTGATATTGTACACAAAGAAGTTGCAAGAAAATGTAATATACATATATACTAATAAAAGTAATAACATTTGCATGCAATTTGTTTGCAAAATGTTTAACTTACCTTGCATCCAATATAAATATTTCACTGGGTTCAATAGTTACATCATAGAAGAATCGAATGCAAGCACACAAAGCCTAAAATAAAAACAACGATGAAAAATTTGCGAAGTAAACTAATAGTTTTTGGACTTGAAGAAGACAGAAGTTATAACGCAACAACTACAATCCTACCTAAGTGACCATAAACTATATATGACGGATTAAAGTAGCTAAAATCAAAATGTGTAAACAATCAAAGTTTATTTAACATTGGCCGAGTGAATTCAAGCACATCAAAAGCTTTCGTAAAAAAGCATGGTAAATGAGAAACGTAAGTATAGGTGGGGTTATTGTGAGTGAATGAATAACTCATCTACTTGATGTTAATGCCTAAATATTTTGTTTGTATCTGTCCAGTATTATATACGTATACGCGACTTATAAAAATAAATAGTAACAATAGCTGAGTGTGAGCGACACTTTAATTAATAGGGCTAAATAAAGCACTCGGTTTCTCGAACAAATTTAGGTACAGTACGGTTCTAATATGGAGCTCAGTGGGTAGAAGTCGATCGTCTTAACAACCAAGCCGTCACACGAATTACGTATATATCAACTTCCTATCCACTTCTAGTCTGCTTTACATATCTGCTAGAAAACGTGTGATATGGGTGAATTGGATCAAAGGCTACAGCTGACACAATTACATTACAGACTATGAGATGTAAATGAAGTTGAAGTTTTTGTGATATCTGATGTAAATGGAATGGTTGTGATGCTTCCATTGTTCTTCATAACATCATGAACATGTACTTTAAAGAGAAGACTTCAGAAGAACAACGAAAGCTTCATAACTAATTCGTCCAGCTAAAATATCACAAAAACTCCGACATCCTTATTCTGAGTTACAAATATTCTCCATAATCTTAAGAGAATATAGTAAAAATTGGTGTAATATTAAGCAAAGTACTACATATAATAAAACATTTACTAGAATTATTTACCTTTAGAAATGTATTAACAGCTACTTCTCCATCTTTATTTTGATTAGATAACCTACAAAATTCTATATCCAAATATAATTTAGCTGGTCTGTCTAAAAATAAAATAAAAGGATATATTCATAAATATATATAAATGGTATGATGTAAAATAAAGTGATAACGATGTGACATCAGCTTGCTAAATCCGATATAAACCATAAACCTGGTAAACGGAAAAAACTACACGATCAATAATTTACACAAAAATAAGCTAAATTAGTTAATTAAATGTGGGTCATACAGAATAATGAGCCCCTTTGAGCCGTCAATAATGAATATGATAACACAATGAAGTAAAAATGGAAAGCGAAATTTAGTGCATCATTGACTGTAATAGTTATAGAAAAGTTGAACGTATGCAGATCAACAGTGTGCTGAAATTCTAAGAATGTAACTGTATTACTGCAGTAGTCTGCCAGACACAGTTATTCAACGTTTGTAGCCTGGAGTTCCTTCTATTTAAATAGTCTGGACAGTCAACCTAAATTATATTATTTAATTTAACTTCTAGGAAACGTAAGATTGTAACCAATCAAGATTCGTGTCGAGACAAATTGATGGTAGATAGAATTCAATCTCGGTCCGGATTCATCAAATCAACTGTTTAATCGTAAGCTGTGTAAACAGTTATTTCTTATGGAGGATATACATAAATGGTATGATGTAAAATAAAGTGATAACGATGTGACATCAGCTTGCTAAATCCGATAGAATTCAATCTCGATCCGGATTCATCAAATCAACTGTTTAATCGTAAGCTGTGTAAACAGTTATTTCTTATGGAGGATGTAGTTAACAGGGACTCACAAGGAGTACGACACATTAATGTACAACCTGATACTGGTAAGACCTACCTACCATAATTACCTCATAATGACAACGAGAAGAAGGCGCCGTTTGCCTAATTAAACGAAAAATATAAAACAAGAGTATTTTACAATAAATTCATCAATACTTAATAACAATGTAACCTAGTGGTAACATTTAACTAACTACATGATTCGAGCTGAGTTTCATTTTCCAAGAATTCTAAATGGGAGGCAAGGAATATGAAAATCTAGATGTGAAATTTTTGTTTACAAGTAGAAGACAACATGAAAGTGGTACACTGAAACGATCTTACGCGATGATGATTCATCAAAAGTTCAACATGTGCGGCGGCCTGCTTGAGCATCTGGGCTACCTGTTCCTGTCATCTAGATATTTCAACAAGTTATCTATTTTTGTTTGTTTTAATATATCATTATGTTTATTAATCGCACAACCTATTCTGCTGCGTTTCTGAAAAGTGTACAACCTTTCGTTGTCAAAGTTACAAACAACTCAATAAGAGACAATGTGGTTGCTGGCAATATACAACCAAAAGAATGCATATTATTCAGATGTTTCATTTAGTGAACTGCTAACATCTAACTGGCGATCACTCAATATTTATCGCCAGGACCGACGAAGAAGAAAGAAACGGAAACTTGTTGAAATACTTTACGCTGAGAATTCGATATTGCACCAAAAATATAATATTGAATAAAGCCGATAATAATAATAAATAAAAAAATAAATAAATGAAGCTATATGGAGATAGAAACTACTTCTGCTTCAATAATTACACTGGATCCATGTTATTTATTGTTCAGTTTGAATACTATGTAACTTAACACTAAACAGATAAATTATCCTACATTCAATATTTCATAAGGAAAAAATAGTGCTGACGTCTCATAAGTGTACTTTCTATATATTACTCTCTGGTTGGAGTCCTTAGAGATGGTGTGGCTCCACGGATTAAGACGTTATCAGACATGTTTCAAAATAGAATCTACTACTGGCATTACTGTATTTTCCTAACGTTTTTTTATAAAAATGAGGGATAATCCTTAAATCGAAAACACTTTCTGAATTGTCGGTCTTGTGATACATCATGCTCGTTCACATATTTTGTTTATTTATTTGTTTGTCCAACTTCTTCCTACCTATTCATGATCTAATTCTTGTATTTGTGTTGTGCATATTTATTCCAGTGCCCAGTTGTACCAGTGTTTAGGTGTGTTAAATAAATAAATAACCCCATTGCTTTGGAATATTATCGTGAATGCAATGCTTTAATACAGATGAAGTTATAGGAGAAAGGTTGGTAGCAAAGATAAAAGAAATACTATGAAATGACGAAGGGATTTGAAAGTTAACAAAGTGACTCTGTTAGAGGTATGTGGGCGACTGCTACTTCCCAGTTTTCTAAACGATGGAAAGATTCATCTTCTTGAGGTACATGGAAAGCGAGCTAGATAAGTAATGATTTTAGTAACTTGAGAGAGTGACCATAGAGTCCAGAAAACCACCGCTTAAGACTGGTAACACATTGCTTTCTTGTCAGTAGGTCCTGATATATATCAACTCAGTACTTTTCAGACTTTACCCCCGGAAACGGAAATCCATCCAGGAAGATGAAGTGTGTCATTTCTAGAACTCATGTTTTCTAACCCTGCGAGAATACATAATCAATACAGATTCTGGGGGTCTGATGGAAATACATTAATGTTGTCACACCTTAGTACAGTCAGAAGCTTAACTTCACTTTACGTTTTACCACTGTCCGACCAACCTGTCTAGCACGGTAGGACCTAAAGCAACAAGTGTTCTAGCCAGTAAAGCTCGACTGAGTCATCACAATAGGTAGGCCTGACCACTACCCCAAGATAGCAGAAACGATATCGGCATTAATACAAATGAGATTTTGTACCGACACTTCCATTATGTAAAGGTTGGATAACTTACATTAAACGCCATACAATTTTACGGGTTTCAATATTTCTTTAATCAGATACTCCTAAAATGTACAACCTTTCTAGTACTTGGCGGAAACGTGACTTCATAATCACAAGATTATTTTTAGCATCCCCCAAAGTTAGCCCTGTATTCTATTTAAACGGATTTATCATGAATGCTTATCCACTAAAACTGCCCCAAGCTACATTAGTACAGGAAAAAGGGACCTTGACGAACAGAGAATAAGCACATTAAATGTAGTGCAGAACTAATTTAAAAAAAAAAAGTTTTAAAGGAATGAATGGAAATCATTTAATGAGATAAAAAATGCCATTTAAAATAAGGTCAACTCTATGATCCTTTTGAGAAGCAAGCTATAAACAAATGAAGAAATTAGTGATTTCTTTTGATAACCAATTGTATTAGTATTTTATAAGATGTGGAATATATTTGATCGACACATCCCATTCCTTTTATTTATTTAAACACACAAACATTGGTACAAAAAGGCACCAAATATGTATGCCCACACTTTGTTATTCGATTTGTGTGAAGGCTGGTATACTGCCTGGGCGGTCAAGCCTAGGTAGCAGAATACATGAAGATAAACAGGTACATGCATCCAAACTACATAAATAAAACATACTTGTACGTGTAAAAGAACGACTGGATTCCACATGCTAAAAATGAACGTTGACCTTCATTCCCAAGTGATAAGCTTTCATAACTGAAGACCATCATTTCCTAACAGCATAAAAAGTAAACTTTCGTTAAAAAATAAGCCATTATATATATATATATATATATATATATATATATATATATATATATATATCGGTCTAGTAAAGTGATTATTTGTGAGAGCCTGCATACAACGCCCATTTGAGGTGTATCATTTCACGTATGCTAATGAAACAGCTTTATAAATGGTGATTTATAGCATGAGTTAAAATAAATACAACTTATTTAAATGACTGTACACCCATAGCATTAGTTTTTAGTAATGCTATTATTAAACAGCAATATATCCAAATAGCTTAACAACTAAAAAAGAATAAAATACAGAATTGGATTTATATTGATTACTTCAAAGTACAACGCACACGAATTTGGAATTCATTACGAAAATTAATGGTTACTAGGTTGGTATTAAAGGCGCGATGCGAATACTGAGTTAGTCTCGTTAATTAAAAAAGTCAAATTACAATTTCAAGAAATATCCATAACCACACACAACTAATACATAACAGACTTTACGAACAGACGGCAATATATATATATATATATATATATATATATATATATATATATACTCAGTCAAAAAGTGAACTAAATGTATACGAAAATCTGTTGAAGGTACACCATACAACAACAGTGTACGTACTACAAAAATAATGTCAGCTAAACCATCCTTTGGCGGTTTTGCGATCAATGAATGAACAATCTCGAAATTCAAACTAAGTCTCAAATAATAAAAACAAACTGATGAAATTTCTAGTTTTATGTATGTCTTCCTAGGTTATTTTATCAATTTATGAAGTCACACTATTAGTGTTTATGATATGAGTAGAATATAGGACAGATGAATGAAGTTACCACGACAGGCTCCAGTGATTGGGATTATATGTTTCCAGTCATTTCAAAATTGATAACACTATTCATTCTTGTGAATCTGATTTTTGTTTTACAATACACTTATGAGTTAATTTATAACTTTAAAAATACAATAGTAATATGAATCTTTCGTCAAGTTCAGATTGGTTTACTCAGTCATGAGAGCCTTTAGATGTAAGGGCTAGTAATACTACCTAGCTGCCGAAACCGAAGAATTCAAGAAGGGTTTGAAGCCCCGACAACCGGTTGGAAGTTGAGTGCTTTGACTAAGGCATTACTACATTTTAAAAAAGAGAAAGTCTTACGTTCAAAATATAAGAAATACGTATTTTCTTAACGACTGATTGGATTACAGCAACAAACAAATGTCCACACCGGTAATTTAGTGTACCAAATCCTCCTTTTACCAAAGTCTGTTCATGTGAAAACTTACAAAACATTGAAAAATTGATAAGTTTGTGCTTTCTTTAAAAACAACTGATTGTTAAATATTCATAAAATTAGTATTGCATACTGATAGAACTTTAGTTAATGAAACACAATTTAATTGAACAGAAAATTATAAATAGATCAATGAAAAGTTTTTCTATCAATTAATAATAAACGCGATGCAGAACAATTTTTGTTCAGTTGAATTATTCAAACACTGACTTATAGAGCTTTTCATTGGCAGATAATATATCAGGGTATTATCATATTCTCAAAAAATCTCAGTTATTTCCTTCACCTTTAAAACTTAGTAATAAAGGATATACTCTGTACGCTAAGTCACAAACTATTATACCTATATGTACCAAAATTTATGATACTAAGCTCAGCTTCGATTCTAAAATTGAATGAGTAAACTTCTCATCATCATTCAAAGATAATGCGTCAAGCAAGTTACTACGAACAGTTTAGATTCATTTTACAACCATTTCAGGATAACACAAAAATGAACTAATCTAACAGAATGGTTACTGATTGATTTGCCCTGCCAAAGGAACATAATCTTTGAGATGATGGGAAAATAAAAAAGATAAGTGAGAGTACAGGTTATATTTTGAAAAATTGGAAGTATCATATAACAAGTAAATAGTAAAACAAATCTCTGTCGCAAATTACAACTGCCGAGTACTTTTAAAAGATAGTATCACTAAAATTTATTTTGGAATGCGATTTATTATCTAGAACAACCAAACGAATTCACAGGTATTTAAAAATGACTATTATATGAATAACTGTACCTGACCAAACTGTTTGGCAAAGTTAATAGCATGTTCTTGTTTACGGAATATTTTTCTAACACTTGTTGGACCTTTTAGTCTACGAAAAAGGGAAAAATAAACGACTAAGTTTATTTTTATCAATGACTTCTGCTGACAGTTGCATTAAGAAAAACTAAAAAGAAACAAAACGTATTTAATATAAATTACACACTGAAGAAAAGTTGAACTATTTGTCAAGTACCTTGATTTTAGTAGAGTTAATTATACTATTCAAGTTTTTCGCAGACGACTACTTATAATCCTAGCTATACTTGAAAGGTAGATCTTTTAAGGAAGCTAAAGAGTAAGAGAAATTGTTATTTCCTTAATGTAATTAGCAGATTGTTCGCGTTTGTTGAGGAATGATAAATTTAAATCAAACTTAAGCATGAACTTGAGAGTTATGATAGAACGGATAGAGCAAAAAGTTTATAGTTAGGTATCCTGGAAGTATGGTTTATAACCTTGACATAAAGACCATTTAGATTTAATCTCTTAGGCGAAACACTTTAGTTTTCCCACAAAACAGCCAATTGTCTTAATTATGACACTCAGGCAGCCTGGACCCATAATTTCTGACATGCAGGATTGATTGGTGAGTATTTATTCACTAAATGAATGAAAAGCGATTTTACCATTGGGAAAGGACAAATAAGTTTATCAATGATGTTTTCAATTTATTTGAAATTGTATTAATTATCGTCTACATTTCAGTTACTTTTGCGATGTATCGTAAGTTTTGGTGTTTAGATGGAATTGAAAGAGTTGAGTAATTGCTTTTCACAGCATTCTAAGCACAGACTGTGATGAAATAACAAGATAATCTGACCAAAGTAACAGGAATTACTACCACCACCAAAAACAAGGTGGGACCTGGTATAAATATGCATTGAGTCACGTTACTACATTACACGAAAACCAAAGGAATCAAAACAATAGTGATAGGATTATTACTGTTGATATCCGATGTCTTTCAGAGATACAAACTCAAGGTCCCACAATAACATTGAGAAGAATCTCTACGTGTTCATGCAAAAATTATATTTCATCTACGCTTACTCACGAACAACCTAAAACAATTGAATAATATTGATTATATATTACTGTAAAAACTACGACCCGAGTAAACCTACTTAACTAATGTCTGTCAATAATGGTCTGCATAATGTCAAGTTAGAAAGTTTAATTAGAGGAAAAAAGCAACTACCAATATAAGTTTTCATAGTTGAAATCACAAACCGATCATAAGTTAGTTAAGCTGTACATTCGTACTTATAGTTATATGGAAAATATATGTCTGTAGAAGGATAAAAAAGATTGAATCCTAAATTGATTCGAGACTCTTATTATCAGATGAGGTTACGCAATAATCAAGGGATAAGAGAAAAATATGAGGACGGAAATAATTTACGGGTCTGAATTATGAAGGACAATTATCCAATTGACAGATATGAATTAGTGTTTCCCAATTTTAAATTGCAATCAGTTATTATTAACCTTAAACAAGTTTTTCTGACTACTATTCAGTTTTTATTATTATGACCTTTATGTTTGTCGCTTTTTCTTCATATACGTCAGTTGGGTGGATAGCATCAGCAACAACTCACTATGGGAGAGGACAAGTCAGCTTCCAGTTCGGAAGGAAATCAGGAAAAGACATTGGAGGTGGATAGCGCATAGATTACGCAATTACCAAACTGCATCCCGAGGAAATTTATTTATTAGACATAAACATTGTTACAAGGAGGCACCAAACAGATATGCGCCACATAAAACATTCGATTTATGTGAGTGCTGCGATATTGCCCGGGTGCTCAAACCGAAGCAGGTGGTTTTCTTAGGGGGCCACACCCAGAGCCTTCAACCTAAAGGTCTGATCCACAAGGTAGTGGAGCAATGCCAGGAGAGGCAGTCCCATGGTATCTGGTCACCAACGATTGGTTCATTGGTCTACTTTTCCTTTCAGGATCCTGGAGCCCATCTGAATTATTGATTTGGAATCAGGGTTTTCCAACTTCCCTAGGTGTACTCTCGGTGTCCACCAACCCGGTTAAAGCGCCGGACATTCGCTTCTCGTCCTCTCAATTTCGTGGTCATGTGGGATCATTTCGAAAGGGAGAAGTGACTCTCCCCACCCTCGGCTGGACCAGGGCACTTGGGGGCAATCACGAGGCAAGCCCTAACTTGGAATCCTGAAAGAAAACGGAAAACAGGAAGGCCGAAGAACACGCTACGTTGGAAATCGGAAACAAACATGAAAAGGATGAATAACATCTGGAAAAGATTTCCCAGGACAGTATTGGAAATAGAAAGTGCTCGTGGGCGGCCTATGCCCCTCCACGAGGGGTAACAGGAGTAAGTATGTCGATTGGACAATTGTCCTTCATAATTCAGACCCGTAAATTATTTCCGTCCTCATATTTTTCTCTTATCCCTTGATTATTGCGTAACCTCATCTGATAATAAGAGTCTCGAATCAATTTAGGATTCAATCCTTTTTATCCTTCTACAGACATATATTTTCCATATAACTATAAGTACGAATGTATGAATTGTCTTTATTTTTATTCAATGACACAATGGTTTATTTTAATTATCTGATCATAATTGAACCACTATGGGAAACCTGGAAGTGTCAGAAAATCTTGGGTTTGATTTCCGGGTGCGGCGTTGTGGATGGGCACTTTTGAGGAGCCCCATACTACGATGAAACGCCTATCTAGCGCTTCCAGGTATGCAATGGTGGTCTAACTAAAACCAATTTGTAATTTAAACTATGAAAATTCTACAGTAGTAACATAAATGTCCGTAACTGCATGTCAGCACTGCAACAGGTGGAATGAAATATATTTTTCTCGGATTATGACATTTTGATCCGTTGTAACCTTACTTGTAAGATCACAAAAGTTACGTGACTACTACTCGAGACACTCGGATACATGGGCTAGGGTTGAAAACGATGCAAACTATGCTGTGAATTACTGACGCTTAAATCACGAAATTATCTTGAATATGATTCGTGATTGCTAGAATCATTAAAAAACAATATGGGTGTTAACTGTTATATAAATTGTAAGAACATTATAAACACCAATAACATACGTAGCCTGATAAGGTTGTGGTATTTGACGTACACGAGCAGCAGCTGCATCTAAATCCCATCTTTTGAGTCTACAGAATTTTGAAAGAAAAGATATAACTGAAAGAAGGGATTATTTACTAAATTGGTAAGTCATTAAGAGAAATTCAATTATATTGAGAGCAGACAGTTTTATTTATCAAGTAGCTTGAAGAGAAATATCTTGATTTAGACAACTATTTACTCAAATGTTATGCAAATCCTTCATGATTACTTATGTAGCCTGTAGAAGGAGGAGGGTTAAGTATAGGATCGGCAACCCCATCACGTGGAAAAAAATCTTGCTAAAAAACACCAACCATATTAAACCATTTAAACTCTAACCTGGGAGTTAAGGGAAGAATTATGACGCCTCATGGCGAAAGCCGAGATTATCCGGAAATCACGAGGCTGATGCCCCTTCTAACAACCAGAACAACAATTTTTATAGGTACATGGAACGTCCAGAAATGTGGGACACCGGAATGACCAGTCAAATAACTACGGAAATGAGGAGATACATCTTGGCGGTACTCGGAATCAGAGAAACCTATTGGACCCGAGCTGGACAGCAAAGGCTATATGCTGCTGCACTTCAGTCATGAAGATAAAAATGCTCTGATGTTTTCCAAGCAAGCACGAAAGGCACTTGTAGGATGGGAATCTCATGGATCCAGAATCATTAAAGCATCATTCACAACAAAGAAGGAGGGGATCACAATGAACGTTATTTAATGTTATGCACCAACCAATAATATTAATAACGACGATAAAGATCAGTTTAATGTCAGGCTGCAATTCATCATAGCGAAATGCCCAAGAAAAAAATCTCACCATCCTGATTAGAGATCTAAACGCTAGAATCGGAATGGACAACATGGGATATGAAGATATCAAGAGACAACATGGACCGACTGGGAGAAAGGAACGAGAATGGTGAGATTTGCAAACCTATGTGCATTCAACAACTTGGTTATGGGCGGCACAATATTCCCACGCAAACACATACACAAAGCTACATGGGTCTCACCGGATCACATTAAGGAGAACAAGATACATATTTGTATCAATAAAAAATTCAGGACAAGGGAAGAAGTGAGAATCAGGAGGGGAGTTAACATAGCTTCACATCACCAGGTTGTGACCAAGATGAAATTGAAGCTAAAGGAACACTGAACAGCTGGGGAAACAGCAGTACAAAGATTTAATACAGACTTTCTATGAGATACTAACAAACTCAACGAATTCAAGATAAATCTCAACAACAGATTCCAAGACTTACATGATGTACTGAAAGGAGAAACTACAGTGGAGGACAACTGGAAAGAGATCAAAGGAGCATTAACATCAACATGTCAGGAGGTTCTGGACCGCAAGCATAATCATAAGGAATGAATCTCCATGGAAACCCTGGATAAGATTCAAGGGCGAGACTATAATTTATGGACGACCTTTGAACGAATCTTGAGTGACCTTGATAGATATTGGCCAATCAGCAAAAAGTAAGTATAGAGTAAAAATATATTATACAAAACCAAAGAAATAAAGTGGATACACTTCTTATACATGGTTCAAAAAACTTCTCAAGGTTAGAAAAAGGTTCAGAGGTTCTAAAATCGTAATGCATGCAGTAGAGGAAGTCTTCCATATGGCTACAGAATTGTCGGCCTCTAGAGCCGCTCAATTATCACGTTTTGTACAAAATTCCCTGTGAACCGATCGTACGTTAGCAGTAAGCACTGAAGTTGGCGTCGTGACCTTGGAATCTCTCAACGGCTTCTGATTGGCTCGTCCATAAATTAGAGTCTCGCCGATTCAAGAAAGGAAGAAGACAGCAATTAACAACAGCCGAACAAGAACAGAGGAAGTCAAGGCACAGGCTGAATACACCAAAGCAAACAAGCAAGTAAAGAAGAACATTCGAGTTATCAAGCAGAAATACGTGGAACAGTCAGTCAGTCAGTGAGTAACAACGTAGAACTTCGTACATACCTACATCAGTCCGAGATACCATACCACATTAGCACAGAGATGCAGTGGTCGATTCAAATCACAATAATCGGAAACATTAGAGTTTGAAAATGTTATTCAAGTATAATCTAGTGAAATAAGTTTGGAAAGATAAAAAAAGAGACAAAGACAATTCAGAGGATTAGAATTTGGGAGAACACAAAGAGTGGATGCACGTGCGCCATCGCAAACGATTTTGAGTCATGTCATTCAGGGTCTCTAAGCATCGGTTACTATCATCTCGCGGTCCCCAACCAGGTAGTCTACACCTACCAACATGACTCAGTTCACTTTTCAGTGACTTCATGAACTTGTGCCATGTTTTAGTCTGGCCGCCCCTAGCTTTCTTCCAACCTACTCCTATACTACTGAACATCGCACGTCGAGGCAGTCGGTGGTTGGGCATACGTAACACGTGTCCCAGCCATCTCAACTGATGAAGTTTCACTCCGTCATCAATTGATTTGCCATCCTTACTTAGTACCCGTTTCCTAACAACTGCGTTACTTACTCGATGGTCCCAGGATATACGAGCAATGTTTTGAAGACACCTATGATCGAATACTAGTAACCTACGAATATCCTCTACTCTTACCGGTCACGTTTCACAACCATAAAATAGGACGGTACGAACAGCTGAGCAGTAAACACGTCCCTTGGTTGATAGATGTGGAACATCTAGCAACGACAGTGGAAAAAGCTTCAGAAGAAGGAAATATGAGACAGCTATATGACACAACGAAGAAATTAGCAAGGAAATATAGTAAACCAGAGAGATCGGTTAAGGACAAGAAAGGTAAGACAATTACCGAGATTCAAGAACAAAGGAACAGATGGGTAGAACACTTTGAGAAACTCTTGAATAGGTCAGCCCCACTGAATCCACCGGATATCTAAGCATCACACATAGACCTTCCTGTAGACGTCACTCCACCAACAGTCGAAGAAATCAGGATGGCTATCAGACAAATCAAGAGCGTGAAAGCAGCAGGACCAAACAATATACCAACTGAAGCTCTGAAGTCAGACATAAAAGCAACCACAAACGTGCTCCACGTTTTGTTCTGGAAGATTTGGGGGGAAGAACTAGTGCTGACGGACTGGGAAGGACATCTCATCAAGATACCAAAGAAAGAAGATCTGAGCAAATGTGAGAACCACAGAGGCATCACACTACTATTGGTACCAGGAAGGTTTTCCAACAGTGTTGCTGAACCGAATGAAAGATTCAGTAGACGCCCAACTCCGGGATCAACAGACCGGATTTCATAGGGATCGATCGTGCACAGACCAAATCGCGACACGACGGATCACCATTGAATAGTCAGTTGAGTGGAACTCAAAACAACTGTCAACCAATATTAAAGTTAGAATCTTCGATAGGAACGTCAAGACAGTTCTGCTGAATGGAGCTGGAACGTGGAGAGCTACCGCAATCATCATCAAAAAGGTACAAGTATTTATAAACAGTTGTCTACGCAAGGCACTAAATATCCGTTGGTTGGATACAATCAGCAACAGTCTACTATGGAAGATGACAAATCAGCTTCCAGTTCAGGAGGAAATCAGGAAAAGACATTGGAAGTGGATAAGACATAGATTACGGAAATTACCAAACTACATCACGAGGCAAGCCCTAACTTGGAATCCTGAAGGAAAACGGAAAACAGGAAGGCCGAAGAACACGCTACGTTGGAAATCGGAAACAAACATGAAAAGGATGAATAACATCTGGAAAAGATTTCCCAGGACAGTATTGGAAATAGAAAGTGCTTGTGGGCGGCCTATGCCCCTCCAAGGAGTGTGATAGGCGTAAGTAAGTAAGTAATAAAGTAACATTCCATCCAGTTAGACGAAATTACTTGAACTGGGGTTGAAATCTGTACTACACACGCGAATAATATTAGAAAATAAGAACCCTGCTCAAATTAATGAGAATGAAAATCAAAAATGAAATCACACAAGAGACAAAAACGAGGCTTTTCGAAATTATCGACCGATATAGAACAGTGAACATCTATTTGTATTCAGATTCTAGGATATTTATTGAGATGACAAGGATGCAAAACATTAAGAGTATCCTCAATTTCTGAAATATTGTGCATATGTTTATAGCTCCGTTAATTTAAAACATAAGTATTAAAAAGAAGTAGACGACAGGTTTCAAACTGGAGAAATTCATTTGTAAGATGTCACAAGGCCTAACATACATAAAAAATACCAGTGATTTAAAGATTTCATGAAACAATCACTACACATCAACGACAAAAGTGGAACAAATTAATACAAAAGTCTGTAGAAGTGTATTACAGTAAAAATTCAGTCAACTAGTTAGCCACTCAATAGCCTTTCAATTCCCCAGTTCACAGTAGGATTACTAGCAAACTTAAGAACAAAACGTGAATTTACAGGAGCCATAACTATCGAAAAGACAAACATTTGCCAATCATCTTAACTTTAACTCATTATTTAGGTACATTTATATGAGCGACACATTACGTGTCAGAGCTAATACAACTACCCAGTTGCCCAGACCGAAGTAGGCGAGGTGGGTCTCGAACCCAGGACTTAGTGAGTGAGAGTCGAACGCCCTAACTACTAACCCATCTCATTACTTGCCAACCATACTTGAACCTTTTGCCTTACGTTCCGGAAGATTATGAAGGTTAAACGGAGTTTTAAAGAAACATTCTTAGCAGTTGGATGTCTTAAAACCTACACAGTCGTGTCCGACATTAGATAAGATCAAACTTTCAGAAGACTTATATTCCTTCGTTCGATAAACTCGCTAATATATGTGGATCTGCTAATACACAGTCGATTATACAGGTAACGTAAAAAAAATCAAAAACACTCACCGTTTCATGTTCATATCATAACGTAGGACAACCTATTGGTGGATAGTATTTGTTCGAATATTTGGACAGTGGATTGAAAATGAGGGTGCTGAAAAAATCAGATGACGGTATTTAATATTTCAAGAAAATAACTTGATTTTTTTGCTACGTATATTATTTTGAGACGTTGGTATGACAGCGCTTATATCATTTTGAGCTATGGAAATTTTTAGTAGATTTTCGCTATCCAAATGAGATGTCCCAAAGTTAGAGATCTTGCTGTTAATCTGAGACACTCTCATTGGGGATTGTTTGCAAAGTTGTCGTACTTTAATCACATAACCAGTTCTCAATACTAATGACTGCAGGTAGTTTAAATTGTAAATTAACAATATTATACAAAAACTTTCACTTATATTATGCCATTATCGAGTTGATCGTTACAGCTCGTTGGTTTACATATGCAAATAACAAAACTTCAGATGATCAACTTCTAGGAGATCAAACACCTTAGTTCAAAACATTTATCCAGCTAGGTCACTCATGGTGTAATCTACCCTAGAAATTATGTGAAACGATGCTTAACAGCCTTAACATGTATCAATCATTAATATTATTGAACATCAGTGACTTATATATATCTGCATTTATAGTTCACGTTTCATGATGCCGTGATCGGTATATTCAATCAGACGTATATATCACTTGTCCAAAGGTACTGAAAGTTGATAAATCATGCAAAAACTCAGTATCCGTACTGAGATCTGAGAGCTGATAAAACTCCGGAAATAATTAGAGCGATCAGCACACTCAGATACTCCACTATTTATGGTTAAACCATGCACTGATATACACTAAATGTGAAGTAAATTCTTGCATTTTGAGAAAGATAAACATTTTCAGAACTTTGCATTGATGTAAAACGTGTTTATAAATAACACTTTGGGAAGTTGTCAGACAATTAAATCAATCGAGAGAATGTAAAGAAAAAACTATATGACAGAATGATTATAAATAATTTGCCAATATTTTTCAGACAAATTTGTTTAAAATGTATTTTACTCCAACAATGGATGTCAAATACTCGGTGGGTAAAATATTTACCCAACCTCTCGATTTCGGGGTCTTCTCTAAAGTTTGGGGAAATTTTGAGGAAGAAACCCGAAATTCGTGTTGCGCAGTTCTGTGAACAATTTATTATTCAGGAGATTGTTTAAGCCTTCTATGATGCAATTACAATAAGTTTTAATACTTAGTTACAAGATAATCAAGCTTACTACGTATTCCAGTACCACTGTTTCGTCCTTGTTTTAGAATGTCAAATAGGCACGAGACAAAAATGCGTCTATTCCATGCCACATTTTCAAAAAAACTTAGGCCATGCAAGTGAGTGACTGTTACTGTTACATACTTCGATTACTTCTTCTGCCCAGCCTGACTACAGCTGACTGTTTCTTCTAGACCAACAATGCAGAACGTAATGAAATAGATGAAGGACGGGTGATTATCAACAAAATGGCAAAATGATGACCTGCTCTCGATCGACATTTTAGAGAAGGCTGCGGAAGTTAAGGATCGCGTTCGTGAAGTAC